CGCTCGATCCGGAGCGTTTAACCAGTCCGGTACAACATCTTGTCTGAACTCTCAGGATTTCCGATTCCGAAACGCTGGCGAAGCGCCAGTTTACGCCGACCGTTTTGTTTGGATAATGCTTTATTCACCCGGTAGGGAGTTAATAAATCTCATTAGCCAGAGATGACGAACCAATCAGATTGCTTGAAACACCAAGATCACTGGGCGTGTTTTTACTAATTGCTCATACACCATGATGAGCAAGCCAATGAAAACTCTTGAATTGCATTATCCAATGATACAGTTTTTATTAATTTTATTACTATCGAATTAACCTAACGGGAAGTCCCAAAATCCTATGCTTTATCATCGCTAGTTTCCAGTTCAATATAATAAATTACTTGAGGAACATTTATGGAGAATAAAGCGATATTAAGAAAAAAAAAATGGAATGTCTCATTTTGTTTTCTTATTATGACAAGTTATCTGGTTTACAAACTGTAAGTTCAGCTGCATCTCGCAGATTTTTGCAGTCTGAGTTTTGTCAGTGGTGCCATATCTACTAGCACGCCTTTCACAGACAACGGTTTTCAGGTATGCGCGAAAGTCCCTCATTTGAACAAAGTAAATTATGAAGTTGATAGCACTGCTAAAATAGGCTGCGATGCCACCACCGCCATAACGGAAAATGAAATCCGTGGCAAACGTGCGTTGTGGCTTAGCCATTTGGGTATAAGCCATATTGCCTACATAGAAAAGGCAGGGAACGATAAAAGCGAACGTTAGAGCAACGAGTAGAATTGTCCCCTTAATTCTCGTGGCCATAAGCCGACCCTTGAAGGCATCGCTTACTCCATTCCTAATTTTCCTAGTTCCTCTGCCCCACAAAGTTTTGAGTAGAGAAATGTTGACGTAAGTTACAAATATACACGGAAGAACATACTGTAGTGGAAAAATTAGGAGTGTTATTCTGAATGGATAGAAACGCTCGTTATTTTTGCAGATAACGGTAAAATGAGTGCGATTAAGATCTACCCTTTTGCCGTCATATGTTGCGGCGGGAAACAACATGACGGAAATGCCTAAAAACCACGCGAAAATAATCATTTTGCGGACTGTCGCGGAACTGAACGTGCGTGGAATCTTGCGAGTTGATAAGTACTTCTCGAGACTTATTACCACTAAGTTATTGATTGTGACAACAGGAAACACGAAGTTCAGGTATCGAACCATCTTGCACGTCCAGCCACTCTGGAATACATCGAATGAAATTTGAATGCACAGAAGAGGGAGCGAGATGGCACAAGAGAGGAGATCGGACAGGCACAAGCTTCTTAAATACAAGTTCAGATTCTTCACAAAACGATTTGTCTTCACTGGGTTTCTTGCCGATTTTTGCCTGAGAAAGAAAAAGACCAAACAGTTCCCGAGGAATCCCACAGCGCCAACTGTTGAGAGAATAAAACACAGAACACGTTTCGCAGTGATTCCAGCGGGTGTGAACACGTACTTGGGGATTTTTACTGTTTCTGCACGATGAAGAAAACTCGTTGAACCGTTTGCTGATGTATTGGAAACGAAGCATAACGTTTCATTGTTGTCCATGTCCATGTCAGCTGCTCCAATCTATGGAAAAAAATAAAAAATAAAAAAAAAACTTGGGCGCTTTGGCATTTAACTTTCCAGTTAGCATCTGACTATAAGTCAGTGCAGTAGTTATGTTTTAAAAAAATGTACGTTCTGTTGTTGAGATGTTGTTGTTTATAGTGGTCAGTGCGCTTAACTGCATCTAGTTAGTTCACACGCATATGCGTGCCACTTTAACCGAAAAAAAAACAAATATATCAGCTAAACAAAATACAGTAGGCTTAATAATCTCAACTGGCGGAAGTCGACGGAAGGCAGACCAGTTGGCTATTTACAAGCATGACCCGGAGGAGTTGAACCAGGGTTTACCGAGAAGAAAACTCCAGCCAAGTGGTCAGAGGGAGAATTGAATCTGCAAGTCCAGATTTCAAGTCCGGCGCCCTAACCACTCGGCCACGCCGCCTCCGGGCTTGTTTCAATCTTTCTGTTCCAAAGTTAGTATTCGAGGGTCAGACTCTTATTTTCTTGGTAGAGGGTTGCTATTAATAGCACCTAGCGAAGCTACCGCATTTTGATCCAGCCGGCAAAATAGATTTCACTTCAGCCCAGTCCCTGAACCCCCCGACCCCCGCCTTCCCCGCACTATATTTTGGCTTTGCTGAAGCGAGCCTGAGTTGCTTTATAATAACAGCAATAAAGTACGCCGGTTTTCAGAGACCGAATTAGAATGTAACTCGTTCATCTTTGCAAAAAGAAAAAAAAGGAAAATATATATATTCAGGTGACCCAAAGAAAGAAAGGGAGACTTAAAGAAAGAATTAGAAAGAGAGAGAGAGAAAGAAAGGGAGAAAGAAAGAGCGGAAAATAATAGCTAGCAGATGTTCCCTCCATTTCTCTTTTATTCCAGTTGATCCTTTCTGAATTAGGAAAATGCAAATTAAAATTAATATTATTTTTTAGTGATGGCCCCTTCATAAACTATCTCATAAAATTCGAAAAAGGATAATTCAATGCAATCGGAAATCAATTCTGTTAGAACAGCTACTGAAATGATTTTTTATTTTTTTGCAACGTCTCAATAGAATTCCTCGACTAGGTGCAAATTGTTATGCAATGAATCGTGTCTCAACACGTGCATCTGGTTGCTTCGTTTGTACTGTTCTTTTCCATAGCGGAAAAAATACCATTTTCCAGTGCCTTTTGTCATATTTTATTTAATAGTATAGCCATGTTTTGAGTTGAAAGTTCGATTTCGTTGTTGTTGTTTTTTGGGGGCAAACTGAGCTTGCAAAAACAAAATATTGGAAATTTTTCCGATATATTCTTTCGCGTTTGTTTTATGTTTACACCGCCAGGTGTTGTTGCTTGTCACCTGCTATACATCCATGAAATGTAGATCACTTTGAGCGCGTTTCAGTCAGACTCAGAGACAGTCGAATTTTTAAATCCAACGGAGTCTGCTTGTAAAAGGGATAAAATACTAGAAATACTGACCGGCCATGCATCATGCTGGGTTTACAGATATCGTCATGCCGACCCGGCCTGGTCCTATAATACAGACTTTTCCCTGGCAATAATTTACTAGAGACACAAATTCATATTATTTGCGTTGGTCAGAAAAAAAACCTAAATTATACCCTCAAAAGCATTTCTATTAAAATTCAATGCAACTTGAAGCACTTGAATCGCACGACGTGTTTCGCATTTTCAGGTTTCGTATCCCGATGCAAATATCACATATTTTTGTAAACCCGTAGGTCATGTTATGCTCAAATTCTGTAAAATACTTGATCATTTGCCGCGTATTCTGTTACTGACTAAATAAATTAATCTTAAATAACTAAACTAAATTCTGCCGACCAACTTTGACCAATTATCTGGCCACGCACCATGTTGTTGTTGTCAGTTAAATTCAGATTGAAGCACGTTTTTTTTTTTTGAAATAAATAATCCCCTCGCATAGCATTTGCAAATTCCACCCAACATCAAAGCGAGATAGGGATAGAAATTATAGTAATTACTTCCCCAAAACCTATCCCAAGCCCAGAGGCTAAACTTAGAGCGCATAGCGACAAATCAATCACTTTACGGAACCCCTCATTTTAACGGTACCTCGTCTTCAGCTCACTTTCATCCTAGCAAAATGGTTTGTTACCGTCTACTGCTATTTTAAAAAAAAGCGTGTTGAGCTCACTCCTGTATTGACACAGTCTGCGGTTCTCTCCGACAAAAAATCGTCAGTTATCACATCACTTAAAATATAATACATCAATCTGTACTTACGTATTGATAAATAGTCGTGAAGTACTGCGCAATTACAAAAAAGCAAAATTTTCTCTGATTCTGATATGGTTTCTTTCGCTACATTAGCACCATCTGCAACTAACGAACACGCTGTCTCGATCGCACCGTACTTTTTATTATAGTCATTTAAATTCTGTTTATTAAAGGAGTAACCGAGAACAGCACCACGTGGTTTATTGTAACTAGGCAACACTTGTCAAAAGTATGCAAGGGAACTGATGAATTGAAAACGGGACTTCGGTTTAAGCGAGTATGAAAACCGTGGGTGCTTTGAAAACAAAGCACCCACGTAGGTAAATTAGAATTCCGTGTTTAATTGTGTTCCATGCAGACGGCGGATGAAAAACCGAATAATAATGGTGAAAAATAAATACCGTTTTCCTTGTTTTTCCAGGTAAGACAACTGTCAAAGCCTGGTATTGTTTTCCCATTTCCGGCATCTCCAAAAAATAGAAAAGCTACAACGCCAAATTAATCGCAATAATTTTGGAAACTCAAGAACTGTTCATGAAACACGAAAGATATAAATACTTAATTGACGTTTTATGTTGCTACCAAACCAAAAATTTTAAAATAAAAGAAACGTTTTACATAATGCTGCGCACTCTATGGATAAAACATCTATATAATTGAGCTATTTTGCATAAAAGTTCCAGTTGTCTGTTAATCTGAGGATAGGAAATTGGAAGTTTGTGGTTATTGTCTTGAAACAACATGAAAACAGGATTGATCATCTCAGCTATATACTCAACTTCAGTAGCTGTAAAATTAAAGCCTGAAAAATTTTCTTCAGGCTTTAATTTCACAGTTGCTTAAGTTGGGTATATAACTGCGACGAGCAATCATTTCTTCGATCGAATCTTTCTTTGCATTTCAAATATACGATATAAGATCTTTCATATATTCACCTGTGTCTTGACATGAATTTCTAATATAGTCTTTCAAAAAATTAAAGGAAATTAAGTATTATGATTTTTGCCACAAAAATTAGAACTTAAAAGATTCAACTTTTCGTAATTCCATACTGTTCGTGTAAACGTTGTCATGACATGTATGAAAAACTTCGCAGTACCTGATATACAAAATGAATTACTTAGTTTTTCAGTATTTTTTGGCAGACTGTTTCGTGGCTAATCTTGTTTTGGAGAGATCTATTTGGCAGCAGTTCGCTTGAAGTCTCCAATTATATCTAGAGCAGCCTCAACTTCCGGCTCGCCAAAAATCAGCCGCGCAACCATGGGTCGAGCGTGGTTGGTCCGTGTCGGTGACCAAAACCAGGCTCCCACCCGGCCGACTTGTCGACAAAGCTTCAAACCACGCAGCATTTGATGTTTTATACAACAGAGCTGTCGCGCGTGCATGGGCAAGAAGAGCGAGTCAGGTCTTTTTGTGGTGACAGCCGCGAAGATTTGAAAGGATTCCTACTGTATGTTGCAAACGTTTGGACATTTCTTTACGACATGGTCATATAAATATTTAAAAACACAGAAGCGTGCGCTGGCTGTTATTTGCTTTATTTGTTTTATTGATAGGTAAGATTTTAAAGCGAAAGTACACTTTTTAAAACTTTGCTAAGCTGCAAGCAATGGGCCAATTGCGATATATTAAAATTCTATCTCGGCGCCGAGGCTTAGAGGAATACAGCAAAAGAAATCACATCAAGGTTGAGTTTGAATAAAGGATTTCTTTTGTTTTATAGACCTTTTTTATAACTGGTGCAAAAATTTGAATAACAATACTTTATATACCCCTAGCATCGTACTCATGCTTCAAGACAAAGGATTTTTCACATGAATGTGAGGCTAAGGATGTATAAGTATTGTTATTCAAATTTAGGCGCCATTAGGCTTTTCCCCATAGTCTCAACGCCAAGTTAGAAATTTGATATATCGAAACTGGTCTATTGCATTTGCAGCACGACGAGCAGCTG